TCTGGTCACAAGCTGCACCTCTCTGTGTTTGAAGGATGATCCTACTGGGTCTCTTAGCCACGTGACTAGCAGGATACCTCATAGCTCAGCCTATTAGATTGCCCTGGAGTCAGGCAATCAATTGCAGCTATGATCCAAAGCAAGACTTTTGTATGCAAGGGCTTCTGACTACTTTGCTTAAAGACGGTTCTTGGGGTATGTCAGGGGTCCAGTCTCCTCTTTGATACACTCTTCTTCCTAGTTTCCTCAGATCCTTCTACTGCCTTCCGGCTGTGCAGAATGCCTCCACACTGCTGTATCTTGCACTGTTTTTTTGGTTATATTCCTTGAGGATACCCTTAGACTTCAGGCACACTCATAACTCCATGCATGCATAGTGCCAACATACTGCTCTGTGCTTACCAGTTGTTGGCAATAGGAAGACCTGTCCTTATGGTGGAAAACATAAAATAAGGCAGTATTGTCCCAAAGCCTATGTCTAGACACAGTCTGAATTTCTAAAGAGGAATCTGTTTTTAACATAGTTCAGCCTTTAGTTTATTTTTGTGGTCAAGCAATATGTGTGTTTCTAAAAGTTCCTTCAGTGTGAGGCCTGCATCACCCCTGATCTGGTGCAGTTTTTTGTGCACAGATGGTGTCTAATGAACTTTATAATTAACTTAAATTATTTTTTAGCTTCAACAAATATTTATATTTGTAATACCAGAAATGGAATATGTTTTTATTTATTATCAATAATACAAAGAAATACTACTTTGTTTCAGATATTTTTCATATTAACCTTATTACCAGCTACTCCTGACCATCTGAGGTCTGTACACATCTATTCTGTGGGCATTTTTTCTCTTCTCTCTCCCTTTTTAAATAAATGTGTTCATTATTTCTGTGCTGTTAACATCCCACTCCTACTTTGATTTCACTAAGCTGCATTTTATGTTTAGTATTCCATAATGTGATTTGGCTTTTGAAAAGAATGAACTGTTGTCACTAGTACTGTAAATTTATGATCATATAACAATACTGCCAGTATCACCTAGACAAAATGACTCGAGAGAAATAGGCATTAGTAGGAGTAGGAAAAATACCAGACAGTATTGTCAGGCATGAAGAGCCTATTTTCAGGCTCCCTCCATCTCATTTTTGGGTCTTCCCTCGTCCTTTGGTGTATGGGTCCCCAAAAAGAACACACACAGTGCCCTCCAGGCACCTGTCTCTCGGACTTACAGAGAAGTGCCCTGGGCTCTCGACCTTTCTCTCTCAGTTCCTTCTTTCAAGACCTTTATTCTCCCTGGACTGATCTAGTGAATAACTAAAGTGTTCATAGCCAATCATGTCTTATTGTAACACCCCTCTGTATTAGGGTTTCTCCAGAGAAGTAGACAATAGGATATATATATGTATATAAAAAGAGATTTATTATAAGGAATTGGCTGATGTGATTGGATTATTGGATTGTACATACACACATATATCAGTATATTCTGAATTTTCTAAATGTTCAGCAGTAAGCATGCATTACTTTTATAATCAAGGAAAAATAAATTTTCAATCTTCTAACATAAATATATAGAAGCTAATTCATTTACCTAATTCAGATTTATATTTTTTACATTTTTATTGAGGTAAATTGATATGATGTAAAATTAACTACTTTAAAGTGAACAGTTCAGTGTCATTTAGTGCACCAGTGTTGTATAACCACAAAGTCTACCTAGTTCCAAAACATTTCATCGTGCCAGAGGAAACCCTACACCTGTTAAGCAGTTGTTTCCCATTTCCCATTCTTCCCTGCAATCACCAGTCGCTGTTCTGTCTCCACTGATTTACCCATTCTGGATATTTCATATAAATGGAATCATATGATATGTGACCTTTTTTTGTTATGTCTTCTTTCACCTTAGCCTAGTGTTTTTAACATGTTGTATAATATCTAAATACTTAATTTCTTTTTATGGCTGCATAATATTCTATTTTGTGTATGTACTGCAATTTGGGCTCTTTTCACCTTTTGGCTATTGTTAGTAGTGCTGGTATGCATTTGCATATACTTGCATATATATGTATGACGTTGAGCACCTGTTCTCAGTTCTTTGGGGATTCTATCTAGGACTGGAATTGCTGGGTCATATACTAATTCTATGTTTAACTTTGTGAAAAACTTCCAGTCTGTTTTCCACAGTGGCTGAATTATTTTACGTTCTCACAGTAATGTATAAGTGTTCCAATTTCTCAATATCTTCACTAATACTTCTTATGTTCTGGTTAACCCATATTTAAATTATCAAGTTTAAATATATAATCTTAGGCATAAATATTTATCCTGCCAGGAGGTCCTCAAGGAGTCAAGAAACCAAAGAACCATATATTAGTTTCCAATAAAGAAGTGGTTAAAATTAAAGGGGAAAGGATATATTAAATGCCTTAATTAAAGATTTACCTACATACCTCATTCCAAAAGGAATTTGACATGGTTTACAGAGGTACTTTACAATGTAGAGTTTCTATACTATGTGCATCACAATATCTGGGAAGCTTACCAAATAATGTATGTAATGTGATCCCACCAAATTTAAGACAGCAAGATCTCAGTGTATTAAAAGGGGCATGTATCTGAATCTGCATTTTAAATATGCCTTCTGATGACTTTTATGTTCTGAAATTGAGAACCACTGGTGTAACTAGACCAAAAAATCTCAGTCAACTGAGGGATTCTCACCATGATCATCAATTAAAGCACATGTGATTAAATGCCTTTCTTTTGTGGCAGGACTCTGCTCTATAGCAAGAGATGTGGTTGGCCATTTTCAGTCTTACAAATTAATATAATTAAAAAAATTTTTTTTAACTTCTGGAGTTTGATAGATATTTTGGCTTTTATTTTGATCACTGATACATATACCGAAAGCTTTCAGAAGTGTGAGTCAAACTTCTTATTGAATTGCTGAGAATTTTATAATAGAAACTAAAAATAGACCCAATTGAATAATGGAGTTCATGGCTCCATTATTAGAAGTCTCTCCCATAAATGCCTTTTAACATGTGATTCAATTTTTAAAGTATTAAATGTGGGATTAATATTTCTTTCTTTAGGGTGATGTTTGGTAAATTGGTAACTTCAGTGTTTTTCTGAATCACTTTTGTGGGATCAAGAAGGATTTCACTGGAAAACTATGACTCCTTTGAATACTATCCCCCAATAACTAATGAATATCCTACTGCTTCCCCAGTTGTGAATGAATGGGGTTCCAAAGGTAGGAGGTTGGGAATATCAAGACGTTTAAGCCTCTTTCTCCATCTCTACATTTATAATTTATTCCTGCAAGTTAAAAAGTGCCCATTATTTTTGTTACACAGTGGAAAGTACAGTAATACCTGATATATCCAAAAGACCAAACTGCCAGTAATTTCAGTCACTCAAAACATATTATTGATCCAGAAGAAAACAGAAAAGGTCTTAATACAAAATAAAAGCATCGTCCATAGTAAGACAACTAAAGATACAGCCTTGATATCTTACTACACTGATGGACAGTGAATGCAATGGGGCATAGGGAAGACTCGATAATACGGGTAAATGTAATAACCACATTGTTTTTCATGTGAAACCTTCATAAGGGTGTATATCAATGATACCTTAATAAAAAAATTTACAAAAAGATATAGCCTTGAGAAATACTACGCATCATAGTGAATGCAGGCCACATTGACACAGATGAAAAAGTGGAATATAACATGGTAGCGAAAGAAAAAGCTTTCACTTTAAAGTAACAGTGTGTTCTCATTGAATGGAGAGATTATTAAAAGCATTATCCCTATTGGTTGTCCCAAAGTATACTTCTTTTGCAGTAGTGAGTATATTTCCTGAAGGCTCTTGCTCATCTAGAAAAGATAGGGTGCTGTTGATTAGAACATGTTTGAAGAATGTGTAATTCATTTAGAAAGATTTTAGGAAGATTTCCCTAAGCATAAAAAATATTCCATAGCATAAAAATGGTTAATGTTCAAGTACTAGGACATTTTCCTGATATTAAGAACTCCCAAGAGACTGTTGTTTTCTCCTGTGGTTTTTAAAATGGTTCTGATTCAGTATTTCTGTCTGTTTTGCCTAAGTGATAATTTGTGTATTTGAAGGTTCACAACACTACTCCTGTCTCTTCACCATTGATGTAAAGTCTTCCTTGCACTAACTAGTAAGAGGACTAATTTTTACAGAGGCACATGTCTCCCTTGGGATGCTTATCTAGCAGTAGTGTCTCCGCTGACCCAGGGAGCACATTTACAAGATGACTGACAGGGTTAGTAATGCAAGTAGGTCAAAAGTAGAGTGACACTTTGAGTGTGAATGAGACACTGCTGCTCACTTTTTCATTTTTTTTTTAAAAATAAGAAATCTAGTAAAGTGTCAGGCTTTGTATTACCTCCGTGCATGTGGGATTCTAAAGCAGTAGTAATGATTCTCTTTTGACTTCACAAAGAAAGTCACAAGTATGTATACTTTTCAGAAAACAAAGGTGTAAATTCAAGCACTACTACCAGGGTAATATCATATAAAATACAACAGAATAAAACAGGGGAGTTGGAATCAAAGATTTTGTGGTGGTTCAAATTGATTTTCATGGGGTATGGCAAAATCACAGTAAAAAATTTTATCTGAACACAATTGCAGAAAAACATTTGGGAAAAAAGAAACCAAAAAATTAAGCGGTGGCTGTTTCTAGTAGATTACAGGTGATTTTTATTTTGTTTATATTTTGCTATATGAACTATATGAAGGAAGGATGAGTGTTTTTTTACAAGGAGCAGTGATTACTTTTATAATCATTAAAAGTTAAAAAATGTTATTCCTATTTTTAAATATTAGATTATAGCGCTACAAGATGTGTTTGCTATAGCCAAGCACGGAGCTGGGTGAACAAGAGGGGACAGAGGCTGCTTTGGAGCGCTGGTGTTTGTTTCTGCAGGTCTCACATCTTTCCCACCGTTTCCCATCCTATCTGTAGCTCGAAGACGAAATTACAACATTAAGACAAGTTTTATCAGCAAAAGAGAGGCATCTGGTTGAGATAAAACAAAAACTGGGCATGAACCTGATGAACGAATTAAAACAGAACTTCAGCAAAAGCTGGCATGACATGCAGACCACTACTGCGTGAGTATATTAACCAAAGTTTTAAAAATCATTTAGCCTGCTGCCTTTGCCTCTTTTATTTATTTATTTTCCATGAGGCTGATATGGTCCTTGTGGCTTAGAGAAACAATTTCTCTAAAAGTCGAAGAAAGAAATATGAGTACTCATAAATGTGTTGTATTACGTGGACTCTAAAATAGCTTCATGACATAAAACTTGGTTCACCAAAACCCTGTTTTCACTCAGACTACTTTTGTGGGATTGTATAGTTTACAGTTTTTTAATCTTTATTATGTCTTTTAAACATTTTGTTAATACACGTTTTTCTTTATGTTCTCTCATAAAATGGACAGGTGCTGGTTTTTCCTCAGAATACTTGGCATTCACTACTATTTTGAGTTGCTGTAAAGAATGGTTGGCAGTTTTAGTCAGACTTTTTGGCCATTAATTTAAAAAGAAAAGCTTCTATGTCTCCTGTTTTGGGGATGTGCTTTTCATTCTTGCTATTTTAGGGAATATGTAGAGCTGAGTTAATGCCACATGAGATAACAGAAAATATATATGTTGCTCTCTATCGCTGGTTCCTGACACAGAGCTCCTTAAAATCCTTGGAATTTCCTAAGTGATAAGAACTCTAGGGCATCTTTTATTCTAATATTTGGATTTTGACCCTGGTTCTGACACAGCTCCTAAAACCCTCGGAATTGCCAAGATGATGGCAGTATCCTTTGTTCTAGTGAGGCAACTCTTGGTGGGCTCCAGGATGGGGGCTGGTCATCAGAAAGAACAGGACATGATTGGAAGCTTGGAACTTTCAGCACACCTGCCACCCCATGCCCATCCTCCAGAGAAGGGAGAGAGGCTGGAAATACAGCTCGTGATGAATCGTGACTATGTTAGGAGGCCTACATCAAAAATCCAAAAGCTGCAGGGGTTCAGGGAGCTTCTGGATTGATGAACAAATACATGGAGGTGCTGCGAGAGTGGCACCAGGAGAGAAAGCAAGTCTCCACGCCCTCCAGTGTGGTCATGCTCTATCACATAGTAGGGTGTTATAGAGTCATTAACTGTATTCTCTGTGCTGTACTACCCTCCCATGACTTTTCTATATTGTGATTGTGAATTATAGTGCCCCTTAATCCCCTTCTTCCTCCCAACCCAACCTCTCCAACCACCCCCAACCCCTCCCCGTTGGTAACTACTAGTCTATGAGTCCACTGCTGTTCTGTTCCTTGTTTGGCTTTGTTCTTATACTCCACAAATAAGTGAAGTCATTTGGTACTTGTCTTTCTCTGCCTGGCTTATTTCACTGAGCATAATACCCTCTAAATCCATCCATGTTGTTGCAAATGGCAGAACTTCTTTTCTTTTTATGGTTGAATAATATTTTGTTCTGTATATGTACCACCTCTTTTTTATCCATTCATCTATTAATGGACACTTAGTCTGCTTCCATAGCTTGGCTATTGTAAATAGTGCTGTGATAAACATAGGGGTGCATATGTCTTTTCGGATCTCTTCGAGTAAATTCATAGGAGTGGAATTACTGGGTTAAATGGTATTTCTATTTTTAGTTTCTTGAGGAACCTGCATATTGCTTTCCACAATGGTTGAACTAATTTACATTCCTACTAACAGTAGGAGAGTTCCCCTTTCTCCGTATCCTTGCCAGCACTTGCTGTTTCTTGTATTTGGATTTTGGCCATCCAAACTGGTGTGAAGTGATAGATCATTGTGGTTTTAATTTGCATGTCCCTGATGATTAGCAATGTGGAGCATCTCTTCATGTGCCTGTTGTCCATCCATATTTCTTCTTTGGAGATGTGTCTGTTCAAGTCCTGGATTAGTTTTGAAAGTACATGAAATTTAACTGTTGTGGTACTTTTCTAATGATGTAAAATATTTTACCTGCCAGGTGGTCTTGTACCAGAGGGAGGAAGGTGCCCGTATTATGATGTGATTTTTCTGCATTTTGTTCATTGGTGGGTAGGGGCTGATAGAGAAGCAGAGGTTTCCTATCTCTAGCACTAACCTTAGCCCCAAATTCCACCATCGAGAAATGTTTGTGTTATGTGTTTTTTTTACCCGTTTGGATGGTAAAGATGGTACACTCTTAATATTAAATAGGAATCAGTTTTCTCTTTGCTGGTACTTTTCTCCCAGGCATAGAGAGGCCTGGGAGTAGGAAGTTTCCAGGGACAGACAGAAGTTATTTCGGTTTTGCTGGCAGCCTGCTTTGCCTCTTGGCTCCTGAGAACGAGGGTCTAAGATCTTAGTGGAGGCGCCCTCTGTGCAAGGAGTTTGACAAGGAACCTGCAGTCTCCCACTGCCTCCCTCAATTTCCATATAGAGGGGAATGTTCTCTCCTGCATACCAGCCTGTCAGCCATGTCTGCCTCTTTGTTGGTCTACCCCAAGGGCTCATCCAGACAGGGTCAGGCACAGACCAGAGCAGGGCAGGATGGAGCCAGGCAGCCCAACAGTTTATCTCTAGAGGCTAACAACCTTCCCCAACCTGGTAACAGTTACAAAAGAAGATAAGAAACCATGTATTTTGTTGATGTTTATCAATTAAAAATATATATTGCACCATATAAGCAATCTCCTGAAAAGGTTAGCTGGATTTTAGGCACTCAATTAACTGAGCTTATCTGTCAGTTGTTTTAGTTTCTGTCTTTGCACTTCGGTGGCCTATACCAATTAATGGCCCTGATATCAGGAGGCTGAACACCTTGCAGTTCCCTGGGTCTGGTCGCCTCAGTATTTAATCCTGGCCTGAGGGCTTCCTGTTGCACTGATCCTTCTAGGGGGTAAGAACCAGGCGGGACCTTTCTGCGTGGCCTCCCTAATCACACTGCAAGAATAGGCTAACCAAATGGAGGGCAGGCCAGTCCTGGCTTTTCTGGAGGCAAAGAGGAGCAGGGACTGCCTGGCTAGAGGGGGCAAGTCTGCCCTAGGTCTGCCGGGGTTAGGGTGGGAGGTGGGGAAGTGAGGGGAGATATTCTTAGTCATCCTGGGACTAGGAGTTAGAGCAGGCAAGGTCAAGGGAGACCTGTAGCCTTTTTGCACATGAGAGAATATGAAGTTTCTGGTTTCCCCATGTTTGAAAACAAATTAGTTTTATAGTCAAGCAGTACACTTAGCATCAGGCTTTCTGTTGAGTGAATAGAACACACTTATATTTCAGTGTTATGCAGTTTAAAGCCTAGTCAGGAAAACAGTGTTCTTTTTGTTTATTTTACAAATTATTACAAGTAGCCAGTTAAATTAAGTGTGAAAATTGATACGAAGGAAAATACAAAGTTTGTGGGGATGTAAAGCAGGAGACTGAGCCTTGCCTGGGTTCTCAGGGAAGGTTTCCCAAGGTAAGAAATGGTAAGCAGAGTTGAATTTCAATCAAGACAGGAGGGCGGGGAGCTGCCTCCTAGAGGCACAGCCTGGGGAAGGATCTTCTCCCCAGGGAAGGAGGCATGCATTAATATTGTGGAGGTAGCAGGGAGAAGTGACAGGGGTCACGTTGCACAGGGCTTTGTGGCATTGTTACTAGAGTTATTCTTTATCCATTGGCAATAGAAAGCCATTTAAGAGGTTGTGGCAGTTTATTTACCCAGGTCTTAGTGAGCATCTGCTATTAGGCATTTTTACAAAGGGCTAATCTAAGTCCTTAGGATCTAGGGTTCAACAACACGGACAGAGTTCCTACTATGAGTGTTGAAAGAGAAAAGAGCAAGAAAAAGTAACCAAATATACAGATGAGGGTCAGGAGGTGCTGTGGTGAGAGTAGCACGAGGTAATCTGCCAGAGAGTGACTTGGAGGAGAGGACAGAAGCTGCTTTGATTGGCTCCCAGTCAGGGAAATCCTGTCCTGGGAGGTTACTTTGAGCTGACACTTGGATGACCAGAAAGATCCAGTCTTATAATGACTAAGTGGGAGCTTTCACTTTGAAAAAACATGTTGCTTCAAAGACCCTGAGGCAAGAACTAGTTTTGCAGGTTTCAGGAGCCCCAAATAACTGCTGTGTCTGGAATGTAGTGAGGAAACGGGATCAGAGGCTCGGGGACCCTCGGGCAATGTGGAGTGAAAGAAAAAGAGGGGATGCAAACTCAACAGTCCAAGCAGGTTTATTACTAAACCTGACAGGGATTCCTCTGTCCTGGCCAGCAGAACAAAGGAAAGGGGTCTCTAACAGACCAAGGGCTTTTTATGGTCAGGGTTTTTGGTGGGCTCTTTGAGGGGAGGGGTCAGAGGAAAGGTGTGCTTGTGGCTTGCTGACGTGTCCTCTGGAGAATGCTTGGAGAATGCTTGTAGCGTAGGTAAGATGACACACCTAGGTATCTCTGTGATGGTGGGTGAGCTTATTCGAAAGGTGGTACTCAGGTCCGGATTCTGTCATTCCTGGCTCTGAAAGGGTATAGGAAGACAGGTTGCTGTTCTTTTCTTGTCTATTTCCTGGTGAGAGAGGGTGATGAAGGCGATCTTCTGATATTTTGAAGCAGAAAAGCTATTTGGAGGTGTTCTTTATTAGTTGCTTGGGAGATGGCTACCATTTGATCCTGTAAAAAATCTTCGGAATAGGTTACTTAAGCAGGGGAAGAAAAGAAGGAGGGTGATAAAGGCGAGTGGGGCCAGGAGGGGTAGAAGATAACCGAGGGTTGTTGAAGCTGAGACTGTATGACTTAGACTGGGCTGGGGAGAGAAGGGTTAGAGCCCAGTGGCTGAGAAGGTTTGAGAGGTTGTATGAGGAGTGTACCTGTAGGGGCTGGTGGAGGTCAGTTTTGGGGCTTCAGAGGTAAGGAGTGTAGCCTGATGCTAGGACATATAAACAGAGAGGCCAGCGTTTTATCACAAGGTCGAGTTGTTTGGACAAGTAGGCAACAGGGTGGAGGGAGTCCCCAGCTGATTGTGCAAGTAGCCCTAATGCTTATCCCTTTTTGCTGGTTAAGGAAAGAAAGATTTGTTAGGGTTAGGTAGAGTCAAAGCAGGTGCCTTGAGGAGTGCTGGCTTAACATCCTAGAAAAAAG